GATGATGTTGATGATGACGCACACATGGGAAATAAAATAAAATAAACTCTCCGGTCAATCGGAATATTGATTTGTGCTGCTCTTTTCTCACAGATGTCCAGTCTTGGCGGGTAAGAACGTTGCAACAACAAACAGAACAATAACAACAACACGATAGGAGTGTAAAGTACAAGAAAATGTAAACAAATCACACTAACAGATAAAAATAAAAATAAACCATCCCCATCCTACCAGACAGAGCCCACTGAGGAGGAGACATCACCATCGTCACCATCATCATCATCGGCACCATCATCACCATCGTCACCATCATCATCATCGGCACCATCATCACCATCGTCACCATCATCACCATCGTCACCATCGTCATCATCACCATCGTCACCATCATCACCATCGTCACCATCGTCATCATCACCATCATCACCATCGTCACCATCATCATCATCACCATCATCATCACCATAATCGTCACCATCGTCACCATCGTCACCATCATCATCATCACCATCATCACCATCACCACCATCGTCACCATCGTCACCATTGTCACCATCATCACCATCATCGTCATCATCACCATCATCACCATCGTGGGAGTGGGGGGGGTTGTTTGACCATACTTCACCTCGCTGATCAGTGCTGGTTAAGGATGTTGCCTGGACCCAGTTCAAGTATTTAGTCCCGAGTCGCGGCAATTAAACTGCGCGTCGTGACACGCGTGGTTTGACTTGTTCACGGGCTACCTGGCTCCACGTGTTCTTCGTGTTTTTTTTAACAAATGCATTGATTTATGTCGCTCACATTCGCATTCATTCATTCAGTCACTCCTGAACGCGTTCGTTCGCTTGTCCACTCATCCGCGTAACCGCTCATTCATTCGCCCACGACATCCGTTCGCTCATTTGCTCTTTCGCCGACTCACTCTGCCACCAAGTGTGTATGTTGAACTTCTTTCGCACCGTACGTAGCCACTCATCGACATACACTCATGTATTCACTCACCCGTCTACATCCCCATTCAGTAAACGACTCACAAATATTCCCACTCGTTCATTCACTCTGTCGCTCTTAAGTGAATGAACCCACGAATGAATTAATTCACTCACTCACTCATTCACCGACTCACTCACTCATACCCACGCTCGCTCACACACTCATCGACATATCTGTCAATTCATTCACCCTGTCACCTACTCTTGCATCAACTCCCGATGACATTCACCATTCACTCACTCAGTCGCTCTTTCACCGAATCTCAGTCGTTCGCTCACCAATGTACATGCCGCACGTCCATTCTCTCACTCGCCCACATGCCCCACATGTCTCTGAAGTGAGTGTTGTACATTCTAACCCCCCGTTCTAGAAGGATTACAATCTTGAAAAAAATGGCACAGATAATAGCCAACTCTATTCTTGTGACCCAAAGAAGACAACATCACAAAACACAACGCTGAGAATTGGCGCCCCAGAAATGGTGGCGAGGAGTCTGCGTCATTTCGCTCAGAGGGCAGCCTCAGACCGGAGTTCCACACTGGCGCTCTAAGCCTCACGCTCAACAACAATAATTGATAATATAATAATAACGCGATATAAATCATTACGTAACCATCTAGGAGAGCCACTCTATTTTAAGTAGTGTCCTCGTTATTTTAAAGATGTTTTCAGGCAATTGATGATGAGTTGAGTTTATTATTATGATTATTCGCGCCTTGCGCGAGGGAGCAACGCTCTATCCCCACCGTACATGTGACATAAACACATGGCGTTGAGTCCACACTTGCCGCACCGCTTTCTCCTGGCGAGTCGGAGGGTCGGGCATCTACATCGACGTCCACGCGAAGGGAGTTTTACAACAACAACACGTCGTCATCGTCGTCTCTTCCTCCTCCTCCCCGCCCCCTCCATAAGCGTTCACAACAACAACAATAACAACAGCAATAACAATCTCGCGTAATTCAAGAAAATTTGGTACATTCTCATAAAAAAATACGTCGACAGTGCCGTGTGTTGCTGGCCGCTTAACGTTTTTGGCTAAATGGGGGGGAGGGGGGGGCAATTTAAAGTTTTTTTTGTAACTTCTGCTGACACCCACGGCCTTAGAAACGCAGCGCTCTTCACTGCAAGGCCCGTGGGCCCCTGTGGCCTTTAGTGCGGCCCCCTGACCGATGTGCAAGACGCCCCGGCAATTAACAAAGAGTGAGAACACCCACCCCACCACACCACCACCATCATCATTATGGTCCTGCTATCACAATCCCCCAATGGCTTCCAAAAATGTGCGGCGGCCCTCACTCACAATGAATTGCCCCCCCCCCTCTCGTCTCCCCCCTCTTGCCCCCCCCCCTTCGCCCCCCCACCTCTGAAAATGAGTGTTAAGGCTCTCTTCTTCTTCCACCTCCAACTCAGCTTATATATAAGCTCCTAGCTTGGCAGTGTCTCATTCTTCACCTGAAGACGGCTGCTTGCGTTGTAGCCGAAACGTCGTGAGAATTATTTGATTTTATTATGTTTTATTTTTATTATTTTATTACTTCCCTTCTACGTGACTTTACCGAAAGAACCAAAAAGATGAATCCCTGCAGTCACGAAAGCTTTAAATCGAAATGAGTGAGAAACCAGCACTGCCTGAAACGACCCGGCAACCCACGGCTCGATCACCAGCCGATAAACGCGTCTCCTCTCGAGGCACCGACTCGAACTCTGTCTAGGTTTGAAGCTTTCGTGACTGCAAGGATTCATATTCTTGGGTTTTTTCGGCTAAAGTCACGTAGGTAAAAAATAAAAAATAAAAAATAAAATAAAAATCACGACGTTTCGGAGGCAACACAAGCCTCCGTCTTCACGTGACTTTACCGAAAAAACCCAAGAATATCGAACTCTGCCCCCATCCGCCCCATTCACGTTCCCGCTCAACGGTGCCGAGAAACCTCCTCTTGACGTCAAACCGACAGAGAGAAAGAGAGAGAAAGCAAAGAGCTTGACAGCCCATCAGATTTGCTCCACCGGCAGGATGGAGAGCGATTTCTGGTGCACGTGGATACGGCGTTGGGCTTGCCACTCGCGACGACGAGAGAGGCGAGGTGACGCCTCCGATTAGCACGGGACGGCGACGTATGGTGCGAAAGAAGTTCAACGTGAGTCCGTGCCGGCCCGTGTCAACGTCTTGTCCAGAGACTCAGCCGTTTCGCCTCGCCGAGACTGCCCATCCACGTGAATGGCTCACAGGGCTATACGAAATAAATGAAATCAATGAAACTGAAATGACCAGTGGACTCTGATTTCCCAACGACTGTGATCCCTGGATGAGTTTCCACCTCATTGCATATTCAATTGTCGTGAGTATTAACGGTGTAAGAAAAAAAGAGACCGTCAATATGCACTGCGAACACAATGATACGCAAAACATACACAGACACAAGCTCACCACTGATACACACAAAGAGAAAGATCCCCCGAATAGCCTTAACATCAGTAAGTGCTGTTAGCGAACATCTCGTTTGAGGCTGAGTCGACCCAGGGGAGGCCCAGGACCGGTTCACATAATCGTCACTGGTGTGGTGGTGATCGTGAGCGGGAGTCGAACTCGGGTCGCCGGGTTCGTAGTGCAGCGCGCTAACCGCTGCACCATCGCTCCCCCCACACGCGCGCACACACGCGCAGACCCAAATACTAAACATCAGCACGCACACGCGTATACACACTCACGTGTACACACAAAGACAAAGATCCCCCCTGTAGCCTTAACAGACTGTAGGGGCAAGTGCTGTTAGCGAGTAGCACCTATAAAGGCCGGCACGGCACACGACGGGGTGGGTGGCCAACACCACGCCCGGCCGCCTTTGTCTCCCTAGTGGAGATGTTTACACATCGCTCCAGGTACTCATTTGAGGCCAAGTCAACCTAGGGGAGGCCCAGGACCGGTTCACATAATCGTCACTGGCGTTGGCCGTAAGCGGGAATCGAACCCGGGTAGCCAGATTCGTAGCGCAGCGCGCTAACCGCTACACCACCGCTCCCCAGACGTACACACAAAGATGTACACACTGACACACTGACACACACACTCACACACTCTCACACACGCGTGTGTGTGTGTACGTGAGCGCTTCAGGGTCAACATAAGTGACGATTATCTGAACCGGCCCTGGGACTCCCCTAGGTCGACTCAGCCTCGAATGAATACCTGGTTCGGTGTGAAGTAAACATCGCCACTGGCGAGCCACAGGTCGGCCGGACGTGGTGCTGGCCACCTACCCTTGCCGACACTTGCCCCAACAGCGTGCGAAGGCTATACGGGGGACCTTTGTCTGTGTACGCGTGCGCGTGTGTGCGTGTCGCTATAACACTCACTGTGTGCCGACTCGCGGTCTCTACCACCACCCGCGCGCTGTGATTGACGTTGACAAAACGACTCCCAAATAGCGTGGCCGGCTCCCTCCCTCTCTCTCCGCTCTCCCTCCCTCGCTCTCTCCTCTCCCTCCCTTATCACCACCACGATCATCGTCCTCCTCCTCCTTCCTTTTCCCCATCTTCCCCTCCCTCGCTACCTCATTCCCCCACCACCACGATCATTCTCTCTCCCTCCCTCCCTTCTTAATTCCTTCTCTCCCGCACACTCACCCAACAACCATCACCACGATCATCTCCTGCCTCACCCCCATCGCCTCCACCCCCCTCCCCTCAACCACCCATGCTTCCCACTCTCCCACACCTCCCCATCATCATCACCACCACGATCATTCTCCTCCCTGCCTCCCATCCTCTCCCTCCACCCCACTCTCTCTCCCCCCAAAACTCGCACCCTCCTCCGCTCCCCCCACCCACCCACCTCTAACCCGTCTCGCCCACTGCCTTGCCCCCCCCCCCCTCTACCACCACCACCACCACCATCAGCGCGATCATCTCCTCCCCCAATCACCCACCCACTCACCCTCCCCACCACCGCCACCACCATCACCACCGCTCCGCCCCACGTGTCTCTCTCTCTCTCACTCTCTCACACGTGCGCCTGCTCGTCACCACTCCCAGCGCATTCGACGTCTTCCTGCGCCGCGTCTCCGCGTTGACAGTTTTAACACCAAAATTCAATTACTCGGCAAACCCGTCGGCGGAGGCCAGGGGCGCCGTGGCTTATTGCGAGTGGGGGGTGTGGGAGGTGTAAAAGTAAAAACACGAACGGTGTCCTTCGCTCCGCTACAGACGCCGTACGGGAGGAGTGGAGTGGAGGGGGGGGGGGCGGCTTCGTCCAGCAAGCAGTCGCCCGCGACACTTAGACAGGGAGTCGAACTTAGGTTGCCTGGCCCCGGGGGGGGTGGGGGGTGGGGGGCTGCTTTGTGTCGGGTCTCACTCCTCACTCCTGTCTCGCTCGCCTCGTCGCCACTCGGACTACGCCGGGTTCCTGCGAAAGGGCCCCGTTGTCGTTGAAGCGTTTTGCTTGTTTGAGTTGAGACTTTCTCAGACTGCGTCCTGAAGGATTTCTAATTTCGCGTGACGGCAACAGCAGCAGCAGCAGCAGCAACATCATCGTCAGCAGAAAGTTGCAGTCAAAGTTCCAGCAGCAGCAGTATCAGCGGCATCATCATCAGCAGCAAGCGAAATACAAAAACAAAGTTCAGCAGCAGCAGCAGCGGCGGGAGTAGAAGCGGCAGCAACTGCTACCAAAACTCAAGCGACGATCATCAGCAGCAGGAACAGCGGCGGCATTCTCGTCACTAACGGAAGCAAACACGCACCAGCAGCAGCAGGAGCATTAATAGAAACAGTTACTACTGCACCATCATCATCATCAGTCAAACAACTTCAGCAGTAAACACGCAACAGGCGCGATAGCAGAAGCATCCACGGGAACGATACCAAACTTCCGCAACAGACGCAGCAACACAGCCGGCAGCGGAAGCAGCATCGTCATCATCATCAGCAACACTTGACGCATCATCATCAGCAACAACAACAACTCTTGAAGCACCATCGTCAGCAGCAGCAGTAGCACCATCGTCATCAGCAACAACAACACTTGACACATCATCATCAGCAGCAGCAGCAGGAGGAACAGCAACAGCAGAATCATCATCAGCAGCAGCAGCAGCAGGAGGAACAGCAACAGCAGAATCATCATCATCATCAGCAGCAGGTAGAGGAACAGCTACAGCAGCAGCATCATCATCATCAGCAGGTGGAGGAACAGCAGCATCATCAGCAGCAGCATCATCATCATCAGCTGCAGCAGCGTCCTCCGCGATGGCCGAGAAACGGCGTCTGGGTCCGGCGCTCAGCTCCCGCGCGCACGCCTTCTCAGTCGAGGCGCTCATCGGGGTGAGCGCTCGCAAGCGCAGGAGGGACGGCGGCGGCAGCAACGAGAACGGAGAAGAGGACGACGATGAGGAAGAGGAGGAGGAGGGCGAGGAGGAAGAGGAGGAAGGGGGGTACGAGGCGGAGGGGGACGAGGAAGAGGAGGATGAGCGAGGGAAGAGCGCCGCGCTCGAGAAGACGCGCGGCGCCGCGGAGCGGGCGAGCGGCGGGGAGGAGCGGCAGAGAGCGGGTGGGTGGACGGAGCGCTCAGCTCGTTACACACTCACCTACTCACTCACCTACACACTCACTCACCTACTCACTCACCTACTCACCTCCCCTACTCACTCCCCTACTCACCTCCCCTACTCACTCCCCTACTCATTTACCTACTCACTCACTCCCCTACTCACTCACTCCCCTACTTACTCACCTACTCATTTACCTACTCACTCACCTACTCACCTCCCCTACTCACTCACCTACTCGCTCACCTACTCACTTACTCACCTACTCACTCACCTACTCACTCACTCACTCACCTACTCACCTACTCATTTACCTACTCACCTACTCACTCCCCTACTCACTCACTCACTCCCCTACTCACCTCCCCTACTCATTCTCCTACTCACTCACTCACTTACTAATTTACCTACTCACTCAGTCCCTTACTCACCGACTCACTCACTCCCCTACTTACTCCCCTATTCATTCCTCTACTCACTCACTCCTTCACTCACTCACCGACTCACTCACTCCTCTACTCACTCACTCACCTACTCATTTACCTACTCACTTACTCCCCTACTTACTCACTCCCCTACTCACTCACCTACTCATTTACCTACTCACTCACTCGCCTATCACTCACTCATCTACTCACTCACCTACCTACACATGCACTCGCCCACCCACTCATATATTTGCCTACTCACTCTAACTCATCCACTCACCCTGCCATTAACGCATGCACTCACTCATCCACTCACCCATGTATTTACCTAGCCACTCACCTACCTACCCTCTGCATCAGTACACTCACCAACTCAAAAACACATTCACTCACCGATTCACCTACTCACCTACTGACGAATGTACGTACCTACTCACTCACCAGCTCAAGCACTTATATATACTCACACGCTAATTCACCAACTTAGTACTACATTCACTCACCAACAACAATAACAACAACCTCTATGTCAACAAGCGCCTTTCATAATGCAGTTTCTCGAAGCGCCGTACCGAACATAAAATAAAACTGCACTCACAAGTATAGATACAGATCTGAGCGAAAGAGAAATGTGGTAACAATATCGATGGCTTCACTCGGAAGTCTAATAAAATATAGAACTACGATTAACGTGAATAATAATGATAATTACAGAGTAATCCAATACGACTTATTCACTCATTTTTTCACCTACCGGCTAGCGAACTCACCCCACCAACCTCCTGATTGCAACACTTTCTTACTAACCAACTCGTTCTCTTGAAACTCGCTCACCAGCCAACTCACCAGTGCGCTTATGAGCGTGATTCTAAAGCACACTCACCCAATACAAAGACAAAGACCCCCCCACGTATAGCCTTGACATGCTGTTGGGGCAAGTGCTGTTGGTGAGCTCACCAGCCAACTCACCAGTGCGCTTAAGAGCGTGCTTCTAAAGCACACTGACCCAATACAAATACAAAGACCCCCCCCCGTATAGCCTTGACATGCTGTTGGGGCAAGTGCTGTTAGCGAGCACCTATAAAAGGCCGGAGCTGCACACGAACGGGGTGGTAGTGGCCAGGCACCACGCCCAGCCGCCTTTGTCTCCCCAGTGGCGATGCTTTACACACCGCACCAGGTACTCATTTGGGGTTGAGTCGACCTAGGACGGGTTCAGATGTATGTCAGTGGTGTTGGCCGTGAGCGGGAATCGAACTCAGTACGCCGGGTTCGCAGCGCAGCGGCGCTAACCCGCGACAAAAGCGCTCACCCGACACCCCAGTCGCTCACCAACACCCCCACTCACTCACCAACACCCTCCACTCGCTCACCAACACCCCCACTCGCTCACCATCACCCCCCACTCGCTCACCATCACCCCCCACTCGCTCACCATCACCCCCCACTCGCTCACCATCACCCCCCACTCGCTCACCATCACCCCCCACTCGCTCACCATCACCCCCACTCACTCACCATCACCCCCCACTCGCTCACCATCACCCCCCACTCGCTCACCATCACCCCCCACTCACTCACCATCACCCCCCACTCGCTCACCATCACCCCCCACTCACTCACCAACACCCCCCACTCACTCACCATCACCCCCACTCGCTCACCATCACCCCCCACTCACTCACCATCACCCCCACTCACTCACCATCACCCCCCACTCACTCACCAACACCCCCCACTCGCTAACCATCACCCCCCACTCGCTCACCATCACCACCCACTCACTCACCATCACCCCCCACTCGCTCACCATCACCCCCCACTCACTCACCAACACCCCCCACTCACTCACCAACACCCCCCACTCGCTCACCATCACCCCCCACTCGCTCACCATCACCACCCACTCACTCACCATCACCCCCCACTCGCTCACCAACACCCCCCACTCACTCACCATCACCCCCCACTCACTCACCATCACCCCCCACTCACTCACCAACACCCCCCACTCACTCACCAACACCCCCCACTCGCTCACCAACACCCCCCACTCACTCACTAACACCCCCCACTCACTCACCAACACCCCCCACTCACTCACCAACACCCCCCACTCACTCACCATCACCCCCCACTCACTCACCATCACCCCCCACTCTCTCACCAACACCCCCCACTCACTCACCAACACCCCCCACTCGCTCACCATCACCCCCCACTCACTCACCAACACCCCCCACTCACTCACCATCACCCCCCACTCACTCACCAACACCCCCACTCGCTCACCATCACCCCACTCACTCACCAACACCCCCACTCACTCACTATCACCCCCACTCACTCACCATCACCACCCCACTCGCTCACCATCACCACCCACTCACTCACCATCACCCCCCACTCACTCACCATCACCCCCCACTCACTCACCATCACCCCCCCCTCGCTCACCATCACCCCCCACTCGCTCACCATCACCACCCACTCGCTCACCATCACCCCCCACTCGCTCACCATCACCCCCCCACTCACTCACCATCACCCCCCACTCACTCACCATCACCCCCCACTCGCTCACCATCACCCCCCACTCGCTCACCATCACCCTCCACTCGCTCACCATCACCCCCCACTCACACACCATCACCCCCCACTCGCTCACCAACACCCCCCACTGACTCACCATCACCCCCCACTCGCTCACCATCACCCCCACTCACTCACCATTACCACCCCACTCGCTCACCAACACCCCCCACTCGCTCACCAACACACCAACACCCCCCCCTCACTCGCTCACCAACACAACCCCACTCGCTCACCAACACCCCACTCGCTCACCATCACCCCCCCCTCGCTCACCATCACCCCCCACTCGCTCACCAACACCCCCCACTCGCTCACCAACACACCCCCACTCGCTCACCATCACCCCCCACTCGCTCACCATCACCCCCCACTCGCTCACCAACACCCCCCACTCGCTCACCAACACACCCCCACTCGCTCACCAACTCCCCCCACTCGCTCACCAACACACCAACACCCCCCCCTCACTCGCTCACCAACACAACCCCACTCGCTCACCAACACCCCACTCGCTCACCATCACCCCCCACTCGCTCACCATCACCCCCCACTCGCTCACCATCACCCCCACTCGCTCACCAACACCCCCCACTCGCTCACCAACACAACCCCACTCGCTCACCAACACCCCACTCGCTCACCATCACCCCCCACTCGCTCACCAACACCCCCCACTCGCTCACCATCACCACCCTACTCGCTCACCATCACCCCCCACTCACTCACCATCACCCCCACTCACTCACCAACACCCCCACTCGCTCACCATCACCCCCACTCGCTCACCATCACCCCCACTCTCTCACCATCACCCCCCACTCGCTCACCAACACCCCCCACTCGCTCACCATCACCCCCACTCACTCACCATCACCCCCACTCGCTCACCATCACCCCCACTCGCTCACCAACACCCCCCACTCGCTCACCAACACAACCCCACTCGCTCACCAACACCCCACTCGCTCACCATCACCCCCACTCGCTCACCATCACCCCCCACTCGCTCACCAACACCCCCCACTCGCTCACCATCACCCCCCACTCACTCACCATCACCCCCACTCACTCACCAACACCCCCCACTCACTCACCATCACACCCCCACTCGCTCACCAACGCCCCCCACTCACTCACCAACACACCAACACCACCCCACTCGCTCACCAACACACCAACACAACCCCACTCGCCCACCGCGCATTTTCACCCATTGGACGGGCGGCCGAGCGCCGTTCGTCCCCAATCCGTTGCCAGAGGGTCGCGGTTCGAATCCAGCGTGCGGGCCGCGGTCATCACCACGGCGCGGACTTAGCCGGAGGAGATCGCTCTACCGCTACGCGCCGTCCCCTTCGCTCGCGTGCACGTTACAAATAGATCCCCGCGAAATGGGAGTGCGCGCGCGAGCGTTTACATTTTGTTTTTACAACAACAACAATAATAACAGCAACAACAATGACAAATGTACGCCGCAAAATGTCTCGCTAGTAGGGAAGTACGGAGGGCAACCATCGCCCCCCCCCGTACTGGCGGATTGATGCCCCCAGGGTCACTGGTTGCACGCGGGGCTCCATCCCGGTCTCACGCGGGCTCGGACTTAGTCCAACTTGAATCGCAAACTCGCTGGAACTGACTCAGCGACTCCTTCATTCGCTCATCCATACACGCACTCACTCTGTTTTTCGCAAACCCGCGCTGTCGCTCGCCACCACCACCAGCAACAACAATAAACGCGCTCACCGATGCGCTCGCCAAACCGTTCACGTAACGCACTCAGTGACCGACTCACTCGCTCACTAAATAACTCACCTCCCGAGTGCGTTCATGCACTCCCTCGCCTTTTCACTCACCCACGAATCGCTCGCTCACCGACTTGTAAATTCACTCACTCATCCACTCACTTGCTCACTCACTCATCCACTCACTCACGAATACACTCACCCACTAATACACTCACTCATCCACTCACTCACTAATAC